TCGTTAGCACAAGGAATCTCATTATAGTCGACACTCTCTCCACCACTGTCTCTATAATTAACTCTATGGCCAAAAGTGTACTGATTATTGTGATCCTGTCTAATACTATCCAGTATTTAGTGATTCAATGTATGAGAGAGAATGGGAGAGAGTTATGGATTTGACAGCTATTCTACTAAAATACAATGTGTTATATTCTGCGATAATTATATAGAATATTCTGTAATATAAGAATAGAATATTATTTTTTAGTACATTATAGCTATTCAATATTATTGATTACCATTGATTATTGTGTAATTTATATATGAAATAGATTTCGCAATTTATTTCTTAAATTGCTAAATATTTTCTATTTATGTTTTATTTGAAAATAATAATGTCTTTAAATGAAAATAAATTAGTATACATTCAGTATAATATACGAAATTGATTTTTATGGATTTTTTTTGTGATACAATACTCAACGCTATATATATGAAATTGCCTTAAGATTTATGGCAACAAATTATTAGCAAAATCATAGAGAAATGGCATTTCTATTAATGATAGAGTAGTTTGAATCTCTCTCTTCAGGATCACAATAATCAGTACACTTTTGGCCATAGAGTTAATTATAGAGACAGTGGTGGAGAGAGAGAGAGAGAGAGAGAGATTCAAACTACTCTATCATTAATAGAAATGCCATTTCTCTATGATTTTGCTAATAATTTCTTGCCATAAATCTTAAGGCAATTTCATATATATAGAGCTGAGTATTGTATCACAAAAAACAATTGATAAGAGAATCAAATATATTATCTCAATATACAGTATCAATATATTTTTTTGGTCAGAATATTCTGTGTGATCCATATCTACAATCAACATTTGTATATCGCGTACAATGTATGCAATGATTACATGGATTGTAGTGAATTAACTTTTATTGTTTTGATTTTATTTAAATCCAAGCAAATAATACTAATGAATGCAATATCGGATTCCGTAAGCAATTACTGTATTTATGGTCGTATAATGTACTCGATTTGCTACCAGAATATAAACACATTTACTTTTATACATTATTTAACTAGCTTTTAGTATATACTTTGCAATCATACTGACACAGTATATCGTCGTTTATGAGTGCTCGAGAATATTCTGTAAAAAACTAATTTTTATTATAAGATTATGCTTAACTAAACAAATTATTATACAACATAAAACTGTTTTTATTGTTAACTAGCATATAAAAATTATTATGTATATAAACTAGATATATAGTAAAAATTAACCCATAATCTAGTTTATACTAAAATGTATTTATACACTAACTATAGCTAAACACACGTAAAATCGATGACAAAACATGAGATCAATTTGTGAGCAAATTATACTCTCGGATGAGTTAGTACTGAATGATTGAGAGAATTGAATTGAATGTTAAACAAAAATCATAAAATAAAATACAAAAGTTTTAGGTCGACTTTGCTGTTAAGGAGTCATTTATAGACAAACAGTAAGAGCACAGGCATCAATAAAAAGCATACATAAGCTTAGCCTCCCATTCAAAAGCAATTCCCGTAAATCTCTACGAGATTCTCATGCGATTTCTCTCAGACTTCTTTGAGGCTATAAGTAATGTACAGAATATTCTGTGACTTTGTGTTTGCGATTCCGTGTGTAAGACAAATGTTTGCAAAAATTGTTTCGCATTTTGGTTTTCAGTATTCATTGAGTTCGTGAAAAGCAATATATTTATATATTTTTCATTTAAGATTTATTTAACATTTATAGAAATAATAGTAAAATCAATTGTAAACATTTTGTGCACGATATTGCAGGGATTACGAGATAAAACAGTATGTTTAACATATTTAAGTTATTATAAACTCAATATATAGTTATCTATAAGAGTTTCATTATTAAAATATTTAGATATGTGATTAAATTTAATTTTAAAAATACTGTAGTGCACATCTATAATTAATTATAAACTTATTTTTAGAAATACATTAGTATACTATAAAATTTTATCTCTACTTGAATTCGTATAAAATCTAAAAATTTGTAAAAATAAAATTTTAATATAATTTATTGAAAACACATTTCACAAGCAGATGCCTTAAAATATTATATATATTGCATAAAGTTTGCAAAAATTTTATTTAATATAAATAATATTCTAATTCCCCAAATGTATTAGCAATAAAAATTACATAATATTTTAAAATGTTAAAGGGTATGTATAAACTATCTGACTTACCATTGAATATAAAATAATTTTAAAATCAATAACTAATTCTATGTCTTACTATCCATTTCCCGGTGTAATAAACATTAAAATCAATAGTTTATCACATATTCTGTACAGTATTACAAACGTATAATTAACAAACACTGTACTTATTATAATATCACTGTGTTTATCTATCAGTAGTTTTAAATACCTAAACTACTAATTGACTCATTAATAGTAATGGCATTTCATATGTTATTTCTTAATTAGATTTGATTTTATGGTAAGCATGGAAAGTATTGTACAGAATATACAGAAGTTTCCAAAAAATTGATTTTTATTAATAATACTAAAACCAATGATAAATATATTTTTTGTTTAATACTTAACTATAGTATTTACTTAACTTATTATGTATTACTTAACATAACTAGAGAATCATGTATTAAAATTAAATACAGTTTACTACATTAAATAAACAAGATTATGGGAATATTATAGTATTAAATACTAAATAATTATTAATTATCAGCATAAGTAAAATAAAATAGTTTTATAGTTTAATAATTAAACTTTAATTTGTTTGATAGTTTTGTAGATCTTTTATCAAGAATATGATCAGGTTCATTATACAAGGTGTACACTGTATGTCAATATCACATAATTAATATTGACACAGCATTTGTGTAAATCTAATATTATTAAAACATAACAAAAAACATTTATAAAAAGCTTTTTTTATTTGCATTCATTCTGAAAAATAACACAAAAAAGTATTAAATTATTATTTCATACACAAAAACATGTGACATTAAAAATTCAATGTTAACTACACATACGATATACAGGTAGTAATACACACAGAGGTAGGTATTAAAACATACAGGTACAATTAGTTCGCTGTTTTACATTCCGTGTTATATTTATTATTATTTTTATCGCTATAAACATCATTATTATGCCATACAGGTGCGGGTGCCGGATACACGGCAGCACCGGTAGCACCAACATTAGCACCATTGGGATACAAGTATACCCCACCGAAATTAACGTGTTTATTGTCAGGGCTGTCCGTGCGATATATATGAGGCAATTGGGGCCCCGGTATCACATGCATGGCGTAAGAATTGGGAAACTTTACTGATGTGGTGGTCCTGAGTGGGAACAGTATGGCCGGCCTCCGGACCCGGTATGCGATGAATAGGGCCACCAATAGTATGATGATTATGATGAGCAGTATGTATGCGAATGAGTGGCCGATGAGGAAGAATAGACAGATCAGTACCACAGATGCGATGATTGTGAACAGACCTTGGTGTGTCATAAACAATACAATTAATACAAATGTATCAAATAATTACATGTGTTTTGCGTGATTCATGAGTTGCAGTATAATACTGTACTAGTTAATAGTAATACAGTAATTATATTTTGCTGTAATTAAGCTACAATGTTAATTATGTATTAAATACTGTGTTTATGTGTTAGTATGTATGTCTGATAATTTATTAAATTTTATAAGCTTGTAAAAATAAATTTAATATTTTATCTATTTAATTAGTTTCGCATTTTAAATTACTCCCTGTAGTAAAATTAATATAATCCATTTTGTTAAATAACTTATTTAATTAGGTACACATATCTAGCGTAGACTGTACTACGTTTTCATTATAAAATAGCGCATAATAATAAAATTGTTATTTATAACAAGGTTAGTACTAGCATAAATACGCAATTTATTTTCAATTATATTCACATAAACTCGTACATAAAGTTGTGGCAAACTTTTTATCGTAGCCGTCGTATCGCACCGGGCGTTCATCGGCGTCGGGATACGGATCGGGCGATAGTGAGTACACGACATAACTTTGCTGAGTGGTGGTGGTGGTGGTCATGGCTTATACACCATATATATACACAACATATATAGTGTACAAAAGACAGGCACAGAATATTCCGTATATTTATCAAGTGATATAAAACCACAAAAGCAAACAAAGAATATTAAATAAATTCAATTCATGTGTTTATACAGAATATTATTATAAATGTATTGCGAAAATGAAAATACAAGTCTCTAAGTGTATAATGTATTTGATGTTATTTTTAGGGGACAGGGATGGAGGATAGAGTAGAGCGAGAGAGACAGTGAATATGCATTAGTCGTCGTAATGCCAGCGATAGTACTCATTGTAGACAAGGGGAACGGTATGCCATATAAGTACACAAGGTTGGGGTGTAGTAGTGTGTAGGCATGAAGTATATATGCCTGACATGTTTTACTGACATCTCTCTCTCTCTCTCTCTCTCTCACTCACTCTCTGCGTTATATATCAATAAAAACGTGTATTTTATTAATACATAGCATGTTTACAAAAAACTTTTTAAATACTACATACAAATTTTAGATGAATGAATGAGTTTATAAAACAATTTGATAAATATATTTTATACAAAACTTTGTAAAATAATTTTTGAAGTGAAAAATTAAATATGTACATACTGTAGTCTTAAAATTTAAAATTATATTATATTTCACAAACATATAATTATAAATAGTAAATTGACATGCTAAGTAGATTGACTGATTTGGTTAGTTTTATGTTTCATAATAAATAACTTTCTCATTGATGGTCTTAACTTTATAGTTATATGTTGTGTTACATTTCTCATATAACAATAATTTTTAAAACAATTAATTACCCTGTTTCTAATATTTAATTTAATAACAAATTCTTTCACAAACTCCGTAAACATAATAATATTGAACCCAAACCATAGGCTTATAATACTTGCGGTTAAACTCAAGAACTCCTCAAATGATATTTTCAATGATATCTCGTACACAACAGTGGGTTCAGTGGGTAATGAAACTACCATGCTACCACTATATGGAGTGTATTTCTTAACCTGGTTCTCTACACTATAATAATATTGATAGCATTTAATTTTATCAGTACTGCATTCACTTACACAATATTTAAAATTTTGCTCATTTACTGAATCATTAAAATATTTATAGTTAACATAATCAGAGTAAACCAAATAATTGAGGTAAACACCATGATTCAATTTATTCATACACTTAAACCGACAGTGATCATACGAGTCATAACCACCGCAATTAGCTAATTGATCTGTATACTTTAACACTTCTTGATTAAATCTAATAAGGTTAGCCGAGTCATTTGTAAATCGTAATGCGTGGGAGACTTTTAGATTAACATCATATACTCGCTGTTGAATAGAGTGCACGTATAATACCACCAGGCTAATTTCTCGAAATGGCTTTAGGTACGAAATTATGACACCCGCCCTAGGTCATGATTGAGAACTGTAGCTAGTTATATTTGGTACAATCATAGAAAATGTTACACAATAATAGTAATATGATATTGATAGTAAGTATGGTTTAAATTCAGTGCACTTAAATAATTTTAATTTTGTCCCTGTTATTATTAATGCTAGTTGACATTCAATAAATTGTTCCGGTTGCATTAATAAGTCAAATTGTTCATCAAATGATAGTGAATTAATTGAAGTTATGTTGAGATGTTTGATTTTATGATGATATTTCGCAAACTTATCATGGTCGATGAATAGTGACTTGTCCATACATAGGGTGAATGCCGGGTTACCTATTGCTTGATAATTTGTTTCAAACTTAACATTAGTAGTGGTTTGGTATCCGAAGTATAGTTCACTTATTTTATACGTTTGATACATACATCCCATCAAACATAATACATAAGACAATATTTTATAAGTATGTTTGAATATCATAATTATTCAAACTTTAAAGGTTTTGGATAACCCAGAACAATTTAGAAACTATTATCTTATTGAGATCAAGCGAAATGTCAAATTCTTTGTATTAATACTAATTTCTATAATATTGTAGTGTAAATATTGCAAATAAAACATAAATTTAATTAAAATGTTTTTAATTTAGTAGTTTCTAGAATATTTATTATTTGCTTTATGTTGGCTAAACAAGTAATTTATAAAATCAATAACTAGTTAATAAACATTTTACCATAGCTACTATTTTATAATAATATTTATATTTATTCAGTACGGGAACTTAATATTAATTTATATAATTATTTATATTGATTGTATTTTCATATTTTACCATAAAATAGTATCTATTAAATATATAGGATAGTTTTAGTCTAAAAAGCACATAACTGTCCATATTTAATTTTCAAAATTATCACCAATAAATTATTAATATATTAGTTAATACAAATGGTTTAAGATTATTACAATTTTATAAAATAGAAATATTATTTTTGAAAACCTAGAGGAATAGCAAATTCATTATACTGTATATTAATAATAATATTTGCACAGTATAAATTATATTAACGTAAATACTAATATTAGTATAATATACTAAATAATTATATTAAATAATTAATTAAATAATATACTAAAATTAGTATATTAATAATATAATATAGATTCTAATTCTCTAGAAAATTAACTTAATTGAGCTCATAATTAAATAATAATATTAACAATTAAGTTAATAAACTTTGGTTTGGTTTGGAATCTGGTTAATTTTTAAATAGTTTGGTTCTGCACTTGTATAATTTTAAACACCAGTAAAGATATGTATCGAGTGTTACAAACAAGGTTAACTAGAGTGCAAAGGTTAATAACGTATAGAAGTGTTCCCCTATGAAATCCTCTGATTTTAAGTCTAATAATATAATATAATTTAGTATAATAAATTATGAATAATCGTAAGCTTTACTGACTATTTTTACTACTGTTTTTATAAGTATTCATGTACACAAGCCCAAAAAATTTATTTTATTTAAATAAATGAATGAATTTAAAAGCTATTTGATAATATATTTTAAATATATAATTTTGTCAAAGAATATTAAACATTGTAACATTTAAAAAATAGATTTTAAATTACATTTTAAATAAATAAATGATTTAGACATATTTTTGAAATTATACAGCAATTATTTATAAATTGATAATTAATTTGAAATTAATTTCTCACAGACTGATGGATTCTATTAATATTGCGTTTAATAATAAATAACTTTCTTAATGATAGTCTTATAGTTAAATTGTTTATATTTTGTGTTCCATTTCTCATATACAAGTAGCAATAATTTTTAAAACAATTAATTACCCTGTTTCTAATATTTAATTTAATAGCAAATTCTTTCGCAAACTCCGTAAACATAATAATATTGAACCCAAACCATAGGCTTATAATACTTGCGGTTAAACTCAAGTATTCCTCAAATGATATTTTCAATGATATCTCGTAGACAACAGTGGGTTCAGTGGGTAATGAAACTACCATGCTACCACTATAATGAGTGTATTTTATATCCTGGTTCTGTACACTATAATAATATTGAGTGCATTTAATTTTATCAGTACTGCATTCATTTTCACAATATTTAAAATTTTGCTCGTTCACTGAATCATTAAAATATCTATAGTTAACATAATCAGAGTAGACCAAATAATTGGAGTGAACACCATGGTTCAATTTATTCATACATTTAAACTGACAGTGTTCATACGAGTCATGACCACCGCAATTAGCTAATTGATCTGTATACTTTACCACCTTCTGATTAAATCTAATAAGGTGAGCCGAGTCATTTGAAAATCGTAATGAGTCGGAGGCTTTTAGATTAACATCATATACTCGCTGTTGCATAGAGTGCACGCATAATACCACCCAGTTATGTTGTCGAAATGGCTCTAGGTACGAAATTAAGACACTTCCCTTGGGTAATGATTGGGAACTGTAGTTAGTTATATTTGGCACTATGGTAGAAAATGTTACACAATAATATTTATACGATATTGATAGTAAGTATGGTGTGAAATCATTGCTATTGAAAAATTTCGGTGTTGTTCCCCTCATTACTAATGCTAGTTTACGTTGGATAAATTGTTCAGGTTGCATTAATAAGTCAAATTGTTTGTCAAATGATAGTGAATTAAGTGAAGTAATATTGAATTGTTTGTTTTTATGAAGATATTTTGNGTGAAATCATTGCTATTGAAAAATTTCGGTGTTGTTCCCCTCATTACTAATGCTAGTTTACGTTGGATAAATTGTTCAGGTTGCATTAATAAGTCAAATTGTTTGTCAAATGATAGTGAATTAAGTGAAGTAATATTGAATTGTTTGTTTTTATGAAGATATTTTGCAAACTTATCATGGTCTATAAATAGAGGCTTGTCCATACATAGAGTGAATGCAATGTTACCAACTGTTAGATGATTTGTTTCAAACTTAACATTAGTAGTGGTTTGGAATCCGAAGTATAGTTCACTTATTTTATACGTTTGATACATACATCCCATCAAACATAACACATACGACAATATTTTATAAGTATGTTTGCGTAGCATAATTATTCAAACTTTAAAGGTTTTGGATAACCCAGAACAATTTAGAAACTATTATTTTAAGGAGATCAAGCGAAATGTCAAATTTTTTGTATTAATACTAATTTATATAATNTTAAAGGTTTTGGATAACCCAGAACAATTTAGAAACTATTATTTTAAGGAGATCAAGCGAAATGTCAAATTTTTTGTATTAATACTAATTTATATAATATTGTAGTGTAAATATTGCAAATAAAACATAAATTTAATTAAATTGTTTTTGAATTAAAAGTTTCTAGAATATTTACTATTTGCTTTATGTTTTCTAAACAAATAATTTATCAAATCAATAACTATTTAATAATCATTTTTCCATAGCTACTATTTTATAATAATAATTATATTTATACGAGAACTTTATATTAATTTATATAATTATTAATATTGATTATACTTTCCTATTTTAACATAAAAGAATAGCTAATAAATATCTAGAGTATTTTCAGTTTAAAATTATTAATTAAGGCCAGTTATTAATATATTAGTTAATATAAATAGTTTAAGACTTTAAGTATAATAATATTTAATTATATAATATTTATATTATAATATATATTAAATTTTATTAACGCATATGTTTACAAAACAAATCTAAATACTACACATAAACACAAAGTTTAAATAAATGAATGAGTTTTAAAACTATTTGATAATATATTTTAAATACATAATTTTGTCAAAGAATATTAAACATTGTAACATTTAAAATATAGATTTTAAATTACATTTTAAATAAATAAATGATTTAGACATATTTTTGAAATTATACAGCAATTATTTATAAATTGATAATTAATTTGAAATTAATTTCTCACAGACTGGTGGATTCTATTAGTATTACGTTTAATAATAAATAACTTTCTTGTTGATAGTCTTATAGTTAAATTGTTTATATTTTGTGTTACATTTCTCATATAACAATAATTTTTAAAACAATTAATAACCGGGGTAAGCCGATTTCTAATATTTAATTTATTAACAAATTCTTTCACAAACTCCGTAAACATAATAATATTGAACCCAAACCATAGGCTTATAATACTTGCGGTTAAACTCAAGTATTCCTCGAATGATATTTTTAATGATATCTCGTAGACAACAGTGGGTTCAGTGGGTAATGAAACTACCATCCTACCACTATATGAAGTGTATTTTTTATCCTGGTCCTCTACACTATAATAATATTGAGTGCATTTAATTTTATCACTACTGCATTCACTTTCACAATATTTAAAATTTTGCTCATTCACTGAATCATTAAAATATCTATAGTTATCATAATCAGGGTAGACAAAATAATTGGAGTAAACACCATGGTTCAATTTATTTATACACTTAAACTGACAGTGCTCATACGATTCATGACCACCACAATTAGCTAATTGATCTGTATACTTTACCATTTTCTGATTAAATCTAATAAGGTGAGCCGAGTC